ATACATGTACATTTTATTAATCCAGTCATGTATTGATGGACATCTAGGTTATTTCCACATCTTTGCAATTGTGAATTATGCTGCTATAATCACTTGAATGCAAATGTATTTTTTATAAAGTATCTTTTTATCCTTTGAGTATATACTTAGTAATGGGATTGCTAGATCAAATGGTAGGGTCTACTTTTAGTTCTTTGTGGCATCTCCAAATTATTTTCCATAGAAGTGGTACTAGTTTGCAGTTCTATCAACAGTGTACAAATGCTCCTCTCTCTCTGCACCCTTGCCAGCACCTGTTGCTTTGGGACAATTTGTTAAGTGCCATTCTCATTGGAGTTAGGTGATCTCACAATATCCTGTTGATATTTTTTTTAAATTTTCCCTGTGATATGACATGAATTTTAGTCCCATGGGAACAGTCAAACTTTATATTTTTATATTCATTTTCCAATGTCTAAAATGGCACCTGAAAAAACCTAGTAATGTAATAAATATTTTTTAATAAAGCATCCCAAGTGTTTATTTCAGAAAAGTTTTCTTCTAGTATATCATTTGTTATGATTAATATTTATGTATCCTTTTCTACTTCAGGACGACCATTTACATATGAAGTTTCTGTGCCTTTCATATTTGTCAATCTTATTAAAATTTTAACTTTGGCACTTATATTTTACATATGCTTACGTATGAGATCCTGATTGCATATATTCTCAGTTATATTATTCTTTTTGTGGTTCTAAAATTATTTCTTCTATTTCTTTCTTCAGTACTGCTAGATACCTGTTTAATTGCCTGTTAAATCATTCTATCTAGATATCAGAAAGGAATTTAAAATTTTACATGCCCCAAATCTAATTTATAATCTACACCAGAATCATAGTCCTCTTTTAGTTGTTCTTACTTTAGCGATAACACCATCATCTATCTAATTCTATGAGACTGAACTTTTAGAGTTATTTTAGTACAACCCTTTTTCATCACCCCATCCTAATCACCAAGTTAATTCCCACTCCAGTAAATCCTTCCTATAAAACATGCCTTTTGTACATCTGTTTCTTTCCATCTGTTCTGCCACCAAATAATCTTCACTACCAATGTTACTTGCCTAAAGGTAGGAAGCAGCCAGATGGTACAGAGCCTTGTAACATTATAGTAAGGAGCTTAAATTTCATTAAAATAAAAAATTGGGAGGCTTGGGGGCTAAGCATTTTACATATCTTATCTTATTTAATCCTTCCAACCCTCTGAGATAAACAGAGGTAAAACTATTTGGCATATGCATAAACTAAGTAGTTTCTCAAGCCACAGAGCTAACAAACGATAGAACTAGGATTCAAACAAAATTCTGTTTGTTTGTTTTGCAATAAAACCAGACCTAGTACTTTTATTTGTAGAGTTATCAAAATCAAAAGTAACCGATAATTATGTATCAGGATTGTTAGGAATATCAAATATTATTTCACAACTGCCACTACGTGTTTCCTCTTCTCTAACACAACTGGTACAGATCCAGGTTTGCTGTGTTTAAGACGGTTCACTTCCTTTCATCGATGCACTTCTTTCATGACACCCTGTTCCTGAATCTAGCTGTAGATAGATTTTGGTAGGTGTCAATGACGAGCTAAACGTTTTATATGGGGATGATATCGAAATTTCTCCTTCAACTTCTGGTTATAATTCTTGGGTGCTTTCTCTTGTGATGGAAGCACACCCAATTTTTCAGAAGCATTGGCTTTCCACAGACGAATGTTCATTTCATCAGATCCACACATAATATACTTGTTGTCAGAGGTCCATTTTACACAAATAACATGTTGCATTCTTTTTATGTGGTAGACTTCCCTGCTTCGACTCTTGTCCAAAGGAAAGATTCGAATAGATTTATCAAAACTAGCAGACACAAACTCCTTCCCAGTGGGAGAATAATCCACATCAAGTACTGCAGATACATGATCCATATGAACCATCACAGGCGTGTTCAATGCACACATATCAAAAGTATATAAATTGTAATCTTCATTTGCTTCAGTAAAAATGAAAGCTTCCATAGGGTTCCAACAGATTTTATTTGTTCTCATATCTAAGATAACCTTTTTCAGAGGAGTAGATTGTCTCATATCATATAGTACTATATTCCTGTCAGAAGCACAGCTTCCCAAAAGAAATGTCTCAATTGGGTTAAATTTAACACTACTGATACTGTCAAATCCCCAGGTCATTGAACATATAGGACTGGTTCTTTGCTCATCCCAAATGTCTACTT